TTGGATCGAGATAAGTATTCATTTGTGGTGGGCTAGGATGGGTCAAGGTATGGGGAAAAAAAAGGGATAGGTTCACTTTATTTTAAAGGGAAATATAAAGTCTGGGACAAACAAATTTTGCCAATTCCGTCAAAATGAAGAACTTTGGCAGATGCTCATCACAGGTCACCCCACCTTGCCATCGCATCCATTTTTGAGCCAAGCAGAAAAAAAAAAAAACCCATCAGAGTATTAAATCCCCGTCCCTGACATTATAAGAGCGAGAAGCAAAGTTGCCTCCAGTAGGGAAGTGAATCGGCGTAATCACATTAACTCTTCCTTAAAGCAGGTTAGGCTAATAAATGAAATGCACTTTTGGAGATGTTAATCTCATTTTCAGACCCAGATGGGCTCCTCCCGCTAGTAAGCAACGAGACAGATTACCAGGGAAATGTATTAAAAAGTGATTAAGCGATGAAACGTCTAACGAGCCGCCTGGTGGAGGGGCGCCGCGCCAGCGAGGGGCTCACATAGGTCAAATACAAACAAATGGCTACAAAATATTAAACTTAAGAAATGTTTCTGGCATCCTGAATGATTATCTGACAAGTTATAAAGTATCTGATGAAATGTATCTTTGCGATAGGAAAACGGCAAACTTGGGCTGACCAATCAGCGGCTCCAGGATCGGATTACATGCCGTCTGTTTATTTTGAGGTGATCTCACTTAGGCCAATTAGGTGTCCTGTGCTGACAATGAACTTGATGATAGAGAGCATCATCAAGCTCTTTCCTCCCCAGCCTGGCTGTCCCTGGCCCCACCCCTTTCATTCATTGTATTTCAGCCTTTCAATCATGAAGGTTTAGCATCACATGCAAATGCAGCCTGCTAACGACTCACACTACTCCTGACTGACATCCACCTGTCAAGGCATTTTGATATTTGCATAACTCCTCCCAAGAGCCAGCCCACTGCGTACATCAGGACTGAGGGCTCATGAGAGGAGTACTGAACAGGGTGCCTTGGTGGCATGTGGGTGTTACCTAGTGCGGTCTGCATGCAAACACCCAGTCATGAACGCCCGCTCCTCCAGACTGACATCCACCCATTAAGGCATTTTGACCTGCATAAGTCCTCCCAAGAGCCAGCCCACTAGGGGCTCTTGAGAGGAGCATTTTGATATTTGCATAACTCCTCCCACTTCTTGCACCAGGGCTGAGGGCTCTGGTGAGGAGTACTCAGGCGGGGTGCTTGCAGCATACCCCACCAGACTGACATTCACCCATCAGAGCATTTTGATATTTGCATAACTCCTCCCATTGCATGCATCAGCGCTGGTGGCAGAACTGAAGCAGGGTGCTGTGATGTTTTCAGGAAGCTATGTGCCCCTCCCACCAGCCATGATCTTCCTCCATTCCCTAGAGAAGCACAAAGACCCAGTGATGACATCACCAAATCTAAAGTAAGATATATGATGAAATCAGAAATGCATGAGAGGGGGAGGGGAGGAAGCATATTAAACTTTAGCTTTAAGTGGCAGGGAAACCTCCGGTAGCATTTGTACATTAAACCTTTTCCGATCCCTTTAGGAACTAAAAGAAATCTGCAAATACAATGAGAACATGACGGAAATAGTGAGCCCCTCTTCGTAAATACCCGGAGCGCTCGGCGCCGCCGCTGCCGTACAATCCCTTTAAATGACAAATCATTTCGCTTTTAAGTATTTCCTTTTTTTCCCTTCAGCTGACTTTATCGAAACGCGTCTTCTGAGTGTCTGGCGACTGTAAATTATTTATTTCCCGGGTCTTTTGTGTGTACTTGTTTGAACTCGATGTTTATAACAAATAATTGGTTCTCTTGCGGAGAGAAGACGTTCAATTGATCGGCTGCTGTTTATTTATTATTTTTTCTCCTCTTCGGCTTCTTCTTCTCGTTTTTTATTGGCAGTGTAATAAAACGTTCTCTGGAAGTTTCGCTGTTTTGTGCATTATGCAAATCGATTCCGCCATATCTTGAGCTGACCCCGGCGGTCTCTCCGGGTCAGCGATGGCTAAAACCTTCTGGTCAGGGACGGAGAGCAGAACTTCACCAGGTTCATGGAATGTGTAAGTGGATGGAAAGCCGTCGTGGACGCTAGTTTGTGTCCTCCCGTTACCCTAAGGAGAACTATGGGGAAAAGACTTAACCCCATAGTTCTCCTTTAACGTAATGTTCTTAAAGCTGAACTCGGGCACACAAACGTTTATTTAAATATATTCCTCAATAGCCACAAACGATATCAATCCTACTATCTGTGCGCCGAATGCCTTTGTAAGCCCTGTTATTACCTTGTAAAGGTAGCAGAGGCATCCTCACTGTGCTGTGCATAGCCTGTGCAGAGAGAGCAGAGCTGTAGGAGGGATCCAACAGGCTCCACCCACTACAGAAAACTAAAGAGGAGGCGGAGACAAGACCAATCTTTTTTCACAAGGAGACAGAGCAGAGCTGTGGGGCAGGATCTCTACTGCTGCTGTCATGTTAGGGGATTTTGGTTCAAAACTATCCATAATGTGCGATTTATTGATTATAAGATCTGCAGGCTCCACCCACTAAATACTGCCTGTAGTAAACTACAGAAGGGGGCGGAGACAAGACCAGCCACCCTGCACAAGTAGAGAGAACAGAGCTGTGGGAGGGGCTTACCAGGCTCCACCCACTATAAACTGCCTGCAGAAAACTACAGGAGGGGCGGAGACAAGACCAGTCACCCTGCACAAGGAGAGAGAATAGCAGGAGGGGGTGGAGACAAGACCAGTCACCCTGCACAAGGAGAGAGAGCAGCAGTGACCGGTCTGTATTACAGGAAGCTCCAAGTCTCACACTGGAATACTGCACAGATCTGGCATAAATACAAATCTCTTTTTCGCTACATAGACAAAAAGCTCACCAACATTCAAGAAGAATACACATGGCTCTTGTATTTAAATATTTGCTTATTTCGGAGTTCAGCTTTAAAGCTTTAGCTTTCATTAACATAATCCCTAGTCATCCTGCCATGAAGATCCTTGCTCAGGAACTTCCTGTTATAGGGTGACAACGCTTCGTCCCTGTCTGCCAATTGTACTCCAGTGTTGTCACCCAGGCTTCCAATGAAGACTACAAGTAGCTATTTCAGTACACATTACACATGCATGGTCCACTGTTGCCACCATCAGGAAACTCGCCCTCAGAAAAGCCCTGCAGCCATCACTGTGATGTATTCATGAAGCTATGTACACCCTGCTGCCCCTCCCACCAGCCATGATCTGCCTGCATTGCATGGGGAAGCGCAGAGACTTAGTGATATCATCACTGTGACTAAAATAGGATATGTGATGAAAACAAAAATGTTTTATTTAATAATAAAGTGGGACCAGGGAAGGCCACATATAAGCAGATTGCATTTCAGCTGTAACATTCTCTCTGCAGGAAGTGCAGACTGCGGTCGGGAAGGGGTTACAAGTAACAGTCACGGATCATATTATATACTTACATTGTTACTTATATCAGAAAGTCTTTCCTTCAATTACAAATAATCACCGGACTCGTGTGGGTTCATCTCCAGAGCCGTTGGTTGATCTTGTTATTTGCTGTGTATATGGCGACGGTACATATTGTGTGTTACTATTTATACTCGGTCACAAGAGGGACAAACCACCTACGTACACTACCACAGGCAACACCAAGCGTGGCAATAAAACGACACACGCTGAGGAGGAAGAGAGACGTGGGAGGGTCGGCAAACTAATACTTCTAGGGTGCTAGAACGCTGGCGGCTAAGCTGATCAGCATGATTGGTTGCAAGGATGCAGTCAGGCGTGCCGTAATAACCAGTCACCATGTGAAGCCACCAATGACTCTGTGTGGGCTGTACAACATCCTTGGTTGTTAGGATACTGGCGGCCCCCTAGCATC